ATAGCCTTTAGGAGGCTTATAGAATGCTGGGGGAGCAAAAACGAGCAAAAAACGGTCCATTTTCCCCTCATTTCTGCCCCCCCCCAGCCCCCAGGAGCACTCTGAAAGCCTCCTAAAGGCTATTCATGGCCATTTTGGTGAAGGGGGCAGGGTTTCGGGAGGCAAAAAAATATGTATTCAGTGTATAAGATGCACCCAGATTTTCAGCCTCTTTTTTGAGGGAAAAAGGTACGTCTTATACTCCGAAAAATACGGTAATTGTCCTTGTCAGGAAATTTCTCATTAGTTCAAGGTTGCTTCTCTCCTTGGTAAGTTTCCATAAGTTACTCCTTGTCCTGCCCTCAGGTGGATAGGTCCATCCCCTTTCCTTGGTGACAGCCCCTCAAATATTAGAAAGCTGCTATCATGTTACCCCTAGCTCGGCAACTTTTCTGGCAAAAAATGAGGCGTGCAGAAGGTTTGGGAGGCCTACAGAGTTCAAAAACTTTTTTTAAAAAAATTATCTCTTCAAAATCATGGTGCGTCTTATACACCGGTGCATCTTATAGTCTGAAAAATACGGTATCCTAAGTATTTAGAACAGAATTTGAATTCAAAACAGAGCGATCCTATTTAATCAAAGTCCTGATCTTATTTATGCCTATGACAACAAGGGAAAAATGTAGGCAGTGTCCGAAGGCGCTTACATGTGATAGCCTCACATTCCATACAGGTGAGCCACCGAAGATGGAGAGCATGATTTTAAGGTTTAGTTTCCATCTGCAAACATACATGCCCCATGCAAATACATGCAGACACGTCTCCACATACGCAAGACGCAATGACCTTTGCCCGATGATATATTGATATTTCGGGATTACATTCTGAATTGTACTAACTAGGTGACGTAATTCATTTTGTGGAAGGGGCTCGAGGCTACATTTTTAAAGCATGACAGGTAAGGTGAATGAGACAGAAAGCGGTTATTTGGTGGTATCCAGCACCCAAGCCTTAACAAGCCAGGATGGCTAGGGTATTGTTTGGATAGCGCCTATTGGGCCGTTGCTGAAAATTAACATGGTTAAATAAACATGGCTTGCAAGCTGGAGATTTCTGGAGATCAATCTACTGTCTAGAGCAGTGTTGGTGAAACTTTTCACTAACGGGAGTGTGCGTGTTCCGGAAACCAAAAGAGCAATGCGCACGCGAAGAGCAGCTGGTCGATGCGCTGGAACCCGGAAGAGCAACGGGTGATGGGGATGCCGCAACGGTCCTTAAGTGGGGAAAAAATGGTCATTACTGACGTTTTCCCAGTGCTGTTGTAACTCTGAACCAGGGGTGAAATCCTACCAGTTTGGACCAGTTCGCCCGAACCGGTAGCAAAAAATGCTACCAGCTCGCCCAAACCGGTAGTAAAAAAATACTACCGGTTAAGGTGAACTGGCCAGCTGTGCGACAATAAGCTGTGCCGCACAATTAGAAATCTACAGAAAAATCTATTAGAAAACTATACTATTATATTATAATATATGATTACATTACCATTAGAATTGTTAAAAACTATGAGAAGGCAATAATGGAATAGTAAACTACAAAAGCAGAATATACATGCGGATGTGGGAAGCTATAAAAAGTAAATTACATTGTTATGTTGTGTTTTTATCTGTTTTGTATTTGTTTTTGTATTTTTTTTTACTTGTTTCTTTTTTAAACTTGAACATGTTTAATAAAAACTATTTTTTTTAAAAAAATTGCCCGGCACAGCTGATCGTCAGAACTAGCAGTTTGCCCGAACCAGTAGCACTTAGTGTTGTGACCCAGCAGGAGCCGTTGGAGCTGCAAACAGACTCCGACAGCGAGG